ATTAAATTAAAAAGTAGTATAATTTCAGGTCTATAATGCAAATATTGTTTAAACTGAAAACATTTGGTATTTTGCTTACGATATTTTTTTAGGGATAATTTAAAATGTGTAGCTTTAAAGAAAAAACTTTTATGGAATTAGAGCGGGTGAGCAGCTGTTTCCACATTGTTAGGGCACAGAAGTTAGAGTTCCGATTGCCACATTAATCAGAAAGAATTGAGACTATGAAATCCATTTCATTTAATCTCATTATTGAATAAACAGCTCTGTAGTGATGCCTATTTGTACTTGTTTCTCTAATAAAAATGAAAATGTAGCTCTCAACACAAATTAGTTTTAATTATTTAAATGATATGAATTTGTCAAACATAAATAATCTAACACCTGTTTTGCCTTTTCATTTTATGAAAAAAATGTTTCGTGAAAACTAATAGAGGATGATAGTGGGGAATAACAAAGGTAGGTCTATGTATTTATTATCACTCTATTAAAAAAAATGCAAGTGTGAGTTGATTACTATCTAGCAGGATGAAGAAGCAGTCTGTTTCATTGCTATGCAAGGACACAACAGAAAACAGCAAAACAGAAGGATGTCTCACATACACTGGGTCAATGCAACTCACTTGTCCTGTGCTCATCTCTGAGAGTTGGTGACAGTGATTTACAGTATAGCAATTCATCTTCTGAATACAATGATAACATTACAAAGCAATGAGTGGTGTAGCTTTTGAGCTGCTTAATCAAGGCACCAAAAGCTGCCATGACAGTCACCAATATATGTGAAACAAACCTTTTCAGGCAAAGGAAAAGACAAATCTGAGTTTCCCTGCTTTGTATTTATTTTAGTAACTTCATTTCAGGAGATCTGTCTGACCATATATGAAGAGTAGCCCTCGTGTCAGAAGGGTATAATGTGGTATAAAAACCAGTCTCCTCTCTGAAAATGGAGATCTGTTTGTTTTCTCCACAGAACAGTATAATCGTATTTGTTGTTTCTGTTTCATGCTACATTTTGTTTTAAAAGATTTGCTATTTAAAATTCTGGATATCTTAACACACTTCCCTGAATTCATTTATCATTTGGTTGAAGAGGGAAATTAAACATGTAATCCAGTTGTGGTTGGTGGTGGTGGCCTCATATGGCACTTCAAGCAGTGATAATTTGTATGACTTTCTGTATATTAAACCATACTTTAATATTTATTCTGTTTGTGGTGTATTAACTGTTATCCTTTCTTGGTAAAGGAAATGTGCTAAGCAGATAGTTACTGTTCTAAATCAACAAGGCAATTTTAGAGTCACATGAAGCTGTTGAAACCTACCACTCAGTAGTTTGTCTGCCAGATTAATCATCTTTATTGTCCCTTCTGGAGGTGTCTCTCTTCCTTCGTGCAAAATATTTCCAGCAGGCAGGCTTATTGTGAGAACATACGACACTCCAAGGATATGATTATGTGACCATCACAGTGCCCTACATATCAATAACATAGCCCAGGGTTTCAGAGCTGTCTTTTTTAAAAAATGCAAATTACAGAAAATGTTTTCTAAAGCATTTTATTATATTTCAGAGTGCATTTTCTCTCAAAATGCTCCTAAGATTATTTTGTATTAGCTGTACTCCCTTCTCAGTGCAGTTAATTTAAAACACTTAAATTTTTGCATATCGACCTCTTTTTTTAGACCCTTTGTTTGCAACATTTCATTATTGTTAAATAATCAGTAAATATACTACAGGAAAGGTACTGTGGGACTACTGAATTTGTTTCGATGTCATTGGAATTCAACTAAAAGTCAGTAGTTAGAATAAAATTATGTTTCTAGTGTTGCAACGGATTACAGTATGTGACTACTCCAGAAAAATCGGGATTTGATTTAGTTCTTATTTTTATAATAATTTTAATAAATCTTAACTTGAAACTATATAAATGTAAACTGCAATGTCATTTAAAAGAAAAAAAAGCATATGCAAGAAAGCAGGATATTCTTTTCAAAACTCCCACTATAAATCAGATGGCACCTTCCTGTTGTAGTACTTCTGACGTTGAAGAAGGGGCTAGTAACTGTCTTTAAGCCTCCAGAACTGTTTCACTGTTGATCTGACCACAGCTTTGGGAAGAAAAAATATTTTTAGAGAAAAATTTCTTTTGCATTTATGTATTAGACTGAAAGTTTGGTCTTCATTTTTAATGGGCTGCTCTAAAAACATAGAACTATTTTACAACCTAGTTAGCTAGCTTGTAATCTAGATACATAAATTAATATAAGTAAAATAATAGTAGTATCCTTGCTGATGTTGCATTCAATGCTGCATTCAATGCTGCAATGTATCTCAAGAAGCTTTTTGTTAGTTACTAAAGATGACTCTTAAGCAAGTATATCAGGATAATCAGGTTTAATATTAGTATCTTTGAAACAATATCAAGTTGTATCTCAGTTTTTAAATATATTTCCCTAAATAAGTGGAGTTCTTTGTTATTTAATATGAGCTGATAGGAAGGGG